CGTTCGGAAAGCGCTAAACGACGACAACGACAATAAACAAACCCATCACCACCAGCCGGAGTTGTACCAACGCCTCTACGCTGGAATCTTCAGTGGGTCGTCACTCCAAGCCCCTTGGATATGTTGCCGATCATAATTTTAAAGCCCAATGAACAGCACGATCATGGAAAATATTACCCATACTCACTCGACTCGTTCTCCCAAGTGCATGCCATTCAAAAACTCACTTTTTAAACAGTATTGTTGATTCCGTGAGCCAGTTTCAACCCATTCACATCTCTATTTCCCCGAGGTGTTGACAAAATCTTCTTCAACATTACTCCTTCTCTGGTTTTATTCAAAATCATTTGATTTCAAAACTGTTATCTGCAATCACAATTAATTGCCAACACACATTTCAACTGAAAAGAGTTACTGAATCGGGCTTTGCTACCGACGAGGGATACCCACGATACAACACATGTAACTGCTGTAAATTGGCCTTCGAAGTAGAACTCTCTGATCGCTGTCAGTTCAATCACCAGCCGAAGGAAGCAAATCTGGAGGAGCCGGACGAACAATGCTGAAGTCAGGCGTAGAGTTTAAGGTGAATACTGTCGCCCACTGGAGCAAATGGTCGACCTCCATAGATTACGTTGGTTGGGGCATGTGTTACGCATGCCACCAGATAGGCTGTCACGGCGAGCGATGTTTGCCGAGGCAGGTAGTGGGTGGAATAGAGCCAAGGGTGGTTAAGCTAAGACCTGGCACGAGGGTACGAAAACCCTAATCAGGAGCCTGGGTCACCTAGGTCCCGTTAGGCTACCTGGATGGGGTCCTCGGGATGAACGTACCCGATGGTTAGAGACACTGAGGGTAGTAAACAGTGGCGTTCGTGCATCTTCTCAAGTTCTCTGTAACATTAGTCTACAGAAACTCTAAATTTTTTCTTTGAATCTACTTTCAACTTTTCCCGTCTTTTTCCATCCAAATGGGCAACCAAAACCGGCGCACGATGGTGCATGTTTAATGGCCGTACAAACTGAAACTCGACCATTCTCATAGGCAGGTCAGTGTGAAAGTATCACAATTGCTACTAATCTGAAGGTGGAAGAAAACTATCTCCACCATATTTTGCTGCGCAAAAAGCAGGACGGAAAACGTGTTAAAGAACTTTTTAAAAAATAAACATGCATTTTTCCATAGTATTGGTGCTTTTTTTCTTTCAGAATCCTCTCTCATCCGTAGTTAACAAGATCATTCAACGCGAAAAAGCCAGTTAGTAAAACTCCAAGAAGAGTTTAGCGTTGGCCTATATCAGTGGATATTGTAATCCGCAACTAAGACCAGTTTTATTATGATTATACGTTTACCTAATGGGCTTAGAAAAATAGTACGTGTATCTTAGACGAGTCAAACGTTGGCCCAGTGTCATCATCGTTTGAACCTTTTCCGTTCCGAATTTCCCATATGGCGCATCGTTCCAAAACTGTTTCTCCTGTGGTGATTCCCTACCGACACTTAAGCAGCATCGAATTCAGTGCTTATCAGCCGCCTATGCCGGTCTGAAGATTACACGATCGATCGGGTTCGTTTATCGATCGGCCGGATTGTCACGCCGCAACAAGGGACTTGGTGCTTGCCCAGAACGTACTTTTTTGCGCGCATGTTGTTCTGAGCAATCCATCACTGGATCAAAGCGACGATTCTTAACAATACTACTTTTTATAGCATTCCGTAAAAGGCATTCAGTTAAATTTGCTGCAGTTGGTAGTATTTAACCTACATAACATTGTTTAGAACGATCACTGAAATTCATTTGAGAAAGCATCAACCGAAACCGATCGATCAAAGGTCGTCAGACTACGCCTTTCAACAGATCACCAACGAGACAAGTTCCGGCACTTGATATAGAGGTGAGAATCCAGCCATACAGCCAAGCCTCCTCGTGCACAGGTGGTTCTTTTTATTAGATTTTGCCCTCGTTCAATCGCTATCTGCCTCGGTAAACATCGTACGTGGAGGGAGTCTACATGGTGCCATGCGAAGCACGTCAGTCGGAGTTGAAGTCACACAGTGACACGAAATTCATTTATGTTTCCTTCACCCCACGTTCTGTAACCCATTCAGAATGGAATTCTTCGATGTGCGGTAGACGGTGGCCAGTTTGCAACACATCACGCATAAATGAAAACTCCAATCATTGAGTTGATAACAACTAGAAACAGAGTAAGTTATTGGAGGGGACATTCGAGTCAAGGAGACTTTCTGTGAACACCAGCATTCTTCTATCTCTTCGAATAAAGACCGTAAAGTGGTGAACAGTTGGATGGATGAACCTCACGGTCATGGGGGCCTACAGTTCGATGATTAAAACTAGTAAACTAAAGCCTGGGAATAGCAAAACGCCCGATTCCATAACAGAATGAGGATAATAATCAGCGCCACAGCGGAGAAGCCTCCCACGAAGGTCAAGGTTTAAGCCTCAACTTGAAGCAAATGATAGCAAATTAAATCGATCGACTATAACCATCTCAGGGAATGTTTCATTTCGAGACCGTCTAAACAGATTGTGTGAGCCATCAAATAAGGCACATCCAAAGGATACAGAAAACCTCACAATGAATGTCCCAAAACTGTTATGATGTGAAACAGAGACGTGCGTTATTGGTGAAATAGAAGAGATAACCCGATACCGGATAGATAAGTAGGCCATATTTGTGAGAACCGTCATCTGGAAAATGCGTTCAAATCACAGATGAGAAAAATACGAGCAAATCGAAAAGAGCAAAACCTTTAGAAAGGGAAGAAGGATTTATGGGATAGAGTGATGAAGCGATCGTACTGACTTGAGACTTGATTGGTGATAGATGAGAGAGAGAAACAAACAGAAAAACCGACACTTGGGCAACACACACTCGGCATAGTATGCATGTATTTATGTAATTATTTATATATATAGATGAGTAGTTTTATTTCAGACAGAAAAAGAAATCAAGAATCGTTACAACGTTCGTCAAAACTTTTAGAAAAATATATATAGGTAGATATATATAAAGACTGTCCTTTTTGTGAACACGAAGGAGCGAATAACGCATGTCCGATTGAATGACTGCCTGATAGGATGATCCAATTGCACAAAATAGTAGTAGGCAGGCGGACCACATATAGAGGAGTTCACAGGGCCCATGGCTGATCCAATGAAATGCCAAGCTGGTGCTACGCGCGAACAAACATGCGCAGTGAATTGTCAATCCTGAGACAGTCTACAGGCATGCACATTTAGGCGACCAGTGGTGATGATGGTGATGGAAATGAGGAAAGTAAACGAGAACCATTTGTGATTTGATTTGTGAAAACAAAACCTGGGCGATTGATTGTTTATTTCAAGCTGGCTGGCAGGTGATAGGTGAGTGTGAAAGAACCTTGGTGGAACTTGAGTACGCGATGAATAACATCGCCAGTAAAGCAGCCTATGAAAATAACACTGAAAAAGAGTTCATGATACCACCGGATGGGGAAACAGACCGTTAGACATACTAAGTGGTATAAGGATGACCGAATCAGGATAGACTGAAGGATGTCAATGATGGCGCCATGGTTGGCCGATCGGAACCGGTTGACGAATCGATTAGGAAGGATGTGCGAACCGAAGCCCTCGTTGTACAGGCGTTGCCGGTGAATCAGACAGAGACAAGGCGGAATAAGGCTGCTTTTTGTTTCCAGACCGATGGCAGATCAGGTCATCAGTAATAAGCGTGAATGATTGACGGGGGGTGTGATCCGTGCCGATGAACTAAGTCATCACGGAAATATGAAAGTGTGAGGTTGATCGGTTCTATCCAATTACGGGACATTCGCAGATCGCTCAAGGAACTCAGCGATATAACTGACACTAAAATAGTAAGAAGAGAGAGGAAAAACGGGCAAAAAAGATTGAAAACGAAATCAACAGTGTGACACTAACAATACAGCTGAATGATGTGCAACCTTTTTACAACAATCATAGAAATACTGATGATGACGGCAACTTGTCGGATCGATAGAGTGTTCGTCTGGATAGTATCCTTTTACTGTCAACGCGACTCGCCCGGTTATTCAGAATTGTGTTTCGCTTGCTTCTCTTTATTTGATCTTCTCATACTCAGTCGGTGATCTGACATTACTTTTTGTAATTACTTCTCATAATAATATAACACAAGCAAGTCACTTAATCACACATTGTTACATGAACCGTTTGCTGTGTGCTGAGAATAGTCGGCGAGCGAGGCTTCAAAACTTGCAATTGCAAGTGGTTCCACAGTTGAAACGATATTATATCGAGCTCAAAACAACATAATGTAAACAGGTTAAAGTCAGACCAGTGCCCAGTGAGGACAAATTTAATTTTCCAATTAAGCGAGGTTTTTTCACGAAAATGATAGTGAGCAAATTTTGACGATCATTTTCCAACATAATGAAACCTTTGCAGAAGTCATAAAAAAGACTGGGATTAAATGAACTTCGACCCTACTGAATTTCGTCTACGTATTCACGGATAAAGCATTTTCCACACATGTCCAAAACTGTTGAATACATGTCTACTTCCTGGAATCGCTTCCCGTTTACCTAACGGAGACACCCTGTACTTATCGTGGTATGCTGCATCTTCGTCACTGGATCGATAAACTTCACATGGCACAACGAACGACAATGATTCTCGTAGTCACAGGTTTCTATGCAAATTCAAACATTTTTACATGAATGATATAGAAAACCCGTGAGATACAATTAACAAATGTCGAATAACATTTCGGCAACGATAACAAAAAATATGTGAATGCTACCTGGGCACGTGCTCAACGACAACGTAGGATGACAGATCCCAAATTATAATGCTGAAGACAAAAAGCAGGAAAGATGGAAAAAATCGGTTGTGACATTCCCGCACTTACAATCAAATCATAATAATGGTAGACGATAGAACCTCGAGAGAGAGGTGATGAGGACTTACCTTTATTGAACCGATTCGCTTTCTTTGTTTAACATTCACTGGGATATTCAGAATTGCATTCGTGGTCTGTTTGATTGGACTGTTGATCCTCGTTCGGTGGATTTTCGACATGGCACTCTTCACTGTCCTGGTTTGAATATTCCCCCGATACCTGCTGTTCGGTTGGCTCTGACCGTACATTATCTGGCTCATCGGTCAAGGTCAGTTGTTGTTCCGTGGATCCTTCCATAGAGATCAATGTTTCGTCTCTAGGCGATATACTTGATTCCTGTTTACTTGATGCTAGCTGATCAGGATTACACAATGTTTGCTGGTTTAAAGGATTTTGTGAGTTCGCCGCATCAGAACCAGGATCTACAGTTGGAGAAACAGACACAGCTGTGTCGTCGCGAAGGTGACGGGGTTCGTTACGCGGTCGATCAATTATTAGGTCGGCAACGGCGGGAGAAGAACTCAAACTATCCGTACCGGAAACACAGGGGCTGGCCATGGCCGAGTGATACTTTTTGAAACAGATCACATTCTGTTCATCACCGGGACCTTCTGTTGCACTCAAAGCACCGGATTTGTGTGCTCTTGCTTTGGCTCGCCTAGACCTTTTTGACCTAGATCCTTTCGGAGCAGTTTTAACAGCTAAAGTGGTGGGTTTATTTGAACCAGTGGGATCCAGAACAGCGTCCGTTACTTGAATAGCATCGCCGGGTGGTTTGGAATCGTTGAGAGGCGACGCCGGGGTCACAAATGTGTCCACCGGTGCCGATACCTCGTCAACGGACCATTGAGATTTTGATGGATTTGTCAAAGAGGGTGATACATTCTGACTGGGGAAATCGGCCTCAGACAGGGCAGAATGTATGGCCAACTCTATCGGTCGGCCAGACGGAACCGGAGCGGCAGTACGACCACCCATCTGTGACAAATCCGAGCATTGCGCAGGTGGGAGTACAGTTGTGGCTGACGACAACGTATCTAAATTCGAACGATGGTAACACCAATTTGGTTCCTCATCCTGAAGGAAACAGGTGGAAAGGTTTGAGAAAGACAATTAGGAGTATGTCAAATTTACGCTTAGTTAACACGCAGGAATACCCCAGAAAGCTACAACAGTCAATATTTGCTGTTAATACACAACCCTGGAGATAGTTTTCGTCTAATTGGCTCAGAAGTTGCGTTGCTGACGAGCGGAACCCTAAAATAGTATATAGGGTCGGAATTGAAGTGAGTCTCCAGGGAACAAAGTTGCGGTAGGCTTGAGAATGTGGAGGGAGCTGGATCTGAATAGAGTTTCTATGCCTCGATTTGTTTTATTTATGAAGATGTGATATATCACTCACTACTTTGAGCCCTTCTCCGTATAGCAGTTGCATTCCTGCTACGAATCGTCAGTCGTTCAGCAGCACCATTGAATCCACTGCCGTTGAAGCCCAGAAAATGCGGGATGATCAATTTGACTTACTGACTAATTGGATTATCTAAGTTGGCTCGTGACAGCTTACTGCAGGTCAGAACCACTGTCAGTGATTCCCCGACTCTAAGCACAGCCCAAACACGACTGTTTCAATGGTGATGAAGTGAACGCGAACTACAGAAGGGAGAAATCCTCAAATTGAAGTCTATTGTGCATAAAAGGAGAGTGACGTGGAACAGCCGTGTATGCGTGTATTCTGCTTGTCCCGGTTTTGATCCCCAATGGGTCGATGGATTCGCACTGTGGATGAAACCCAGCCAGATCGAAACAGCTGTCCAGTGCTTCTTAGCTTTTCAGTTCACGTTTCATTTACTCATTACACGACGAAATTCACACAGAAAACCAAATTGTTGATTCATCACAAAAACCTGAGGATTTCGAGAAAGCAGTAGTAGGCGGAGAGAGCGTTGCCCAGTGTAGTGTTTTTCCGGAAGAACGTTAGCTCAGGTCGAAAGTACAACGGATAGGGACTGTCACTCGACAAGTTTTGCTTTCTCGTCAGTGTTCAGGTTTTACAAGGGAACAAGAACCGCGATAGTAGTGATATCAATAGGGGTACATTAGCGTTTAACCACCCTTGAAACGAAAGGGTCCAAGCTGAACACTATTAAGAAGGGTCAGGAAGTGGATGAGCCTTTATCCCAAATAAGGTTACAGTGTTCAAAATTGACCTGTTTCAGACTTACATATTGGTGAAATAGTAAAGAAAAGATAACCCACTTTGGAGGCGCATGTTAGACAACATTGGATACTAGCGGAAACTGAGAGAAAGAAGCAGAATATACGAAACTACGGGAAAAGCTTCCCAAACTGAGGGTCAAGCAGTGGCGACTGCGGCTCTCAGAAACAGATAGACAAACAGTGTTGGGAGTGATGAATGATGCACAACTCGATCAAGCTCCAGGCTGTTGTTATTCGGTCGAGATCAGAGTTCACTGGAGTGTTAACATCTGATCGATTGGGAGGGATACCATTTGACGATAACACCAGTGGGAAGTGGTCTCAACAGCATGGATGCAACTGCAAGTGGAAGGGAGAAGGTTATCAATAGATAATGAGAGTAGCATGTAGCAGAGCACGGAATCTGCTGGAATGCCAACAGACACGTGGTGAATGCCGCAGATAGCCCCCATCAAACCAGATAGCAAAGGGTCGGTCGCCAGGGAAACTACGAATGATCACCGTTCTTTGAAAAAATTCAATGTGGATAACTATGCTAGGAAAATATCGTGCCACACACGGTCGAATGCCTAGAAGAAACCCCGCGGATATCATGAAGGTTCATTGGAGACGACCAGATATAAGTAAATGCACACCAGTAGAGCACTGGTGAATCTATGGCAGCATAACTAGTGATGATGGTTACTTATGAGTGCCTAGCGTTCGAGACGCGCTAACAAATGTTTCGCATTAATGATCTCCACTTATTTTGGTGATGGGATAATAGTTGTTCTATTGAAATGAGTTGACACTGGAGTTTAGGATAAAACTGTGAAACTTCCCAACCGTAGGGAACGGACAGATTGGGTTAAAGCGCAGAATGGGAGCGCACACTTCTTCTGCAGAATGTCAATGATTTTGATGTGTTAAAAATATGCAAGAATTGGTGGAAATTTCTCGTTGTTACTGAGGGAATAGGAAAGTTTGGGAAGTATAACTAACGCGCTGCAGCGGGATTTATTGGTTGACGCGATACGACTAGGCTGTCCAAGCCATAGCCCTGGTAGATTCCCTGCTGGATTCACAGTCGAACTCTGACCTGAAAAGCAACTGAGTAATTTGGGAAGACCACGATTTACTGGGAGTCGGTGTCAAGTCTGTTGTATCTTACGTTCTTGAGACTCGGTTTATACCTCAGGGATGTTTAGTGCACCCTAACCCAGGGGGACTCTAGCGAGTAAGATGTCCTACAGCCACACACACACAAAAGATCGTACACGCACACAGATAGAGATATACTCACAGGAGCACATGTGAATTCGCGTGCGTAAGCGAGGTCGAGTTCATGAAGCAGACATCGTGCAAAAACACAGTTAACTCTTCACGTTTGATAACAGACTATCACTAAGAAGCCTGCGCCCGAAAACATCGCTTTGAAAGACACCCAACCGGTCCAGCGTTATTGGAATAAACAAGCCTTGTATTATGATAGACAGGTCGTCACGACTATACCCGGCAAACATCTGGAACCGATAAAGGAACAAGTAAACTGATAAAACCCAATAATCGAATGCTATTAAAAACAGAACACATGAAACTGGCAACACATTTCTGATTGACATTTTAGTCTAAATAGGTAGCTTTAACTTGAAAGCCCATATCCCCGTAATGAGTTGGAATATTCAGGACATCTTGGAGTCAAACATTATACGTGCATTTGTTTATCAACAACGACCCGCTTAAGTGCGACAACTCAAGTGTGATCCAGGATGGTACATAGCTCCATGTGAATTTTGATAGCCATCGAAGTTCAAAATCTGGATCAAAGGTCTATTGAACACCCCGGATGAAAAGAATGTCACAGTTCGTTTTTCAACCTACCAAAAATGGTCCTTAACACCCACTAAGAATAAGTGGTGAATTAAATACGTCATTCATTCCTCTCCAGCGATGTCATAAAGGGTATTTACGAACCAATGGCATTACCTGCATTGCGTCCGCGATACACGAAGCGACATCGTCGACGCTGCGTCCAGTCAAGCTAGACAAAGACCCACCGAAGCTAGAATCCTGATAGCTTCCTGAATGGATAGGGAGGAGTTGATGGAGATGAAAACGAAAACAAAACATGAGTTAAAAGAAGTGAATCGACAAGAATCGAAAGTTTTGCATATGTAAAAGAGAAGACTGATCAAGAAAGGCGAACGTTGAGCTAGGTATACCCACCAACAGCAGCTATAACGTGAAATGGTGTACTAGACTTTTCGATGGACTAAATGTCACTGTCCATTTTAACTAAACTATTTTAGTTATACAGATACGAGGAGAATGATTACGTGTGACTGCGGAGAGAAACAAATACAACGGGACAAGTGAAAAACAAACACATTCGAAGAAATGCAGACTGATGGTCAGATTCTCTGAAACTGGTGTTGGGTGACTGCGTTAACTGCTTCTAACCGGCGTTGTCATTAGCTCACGTGACTATCTCTTTTTCCGCGACTGTGAATGACTGCAATAGAACGATATCCCATGGATGCATTGATTTTTTTCA